CACGCCCTCATCCGCGAGCTGTGGCCGGGCTGCGTGGGTTCGGCCATGCTGCTGTGGGCGCGCGTGAGCCTGGCGCCCCACACGCCCTCCTTCACGCCCGCGGACAACCCTGCCGCCCACGCGCCGTCGCTGCTGACGCGCACGCTGAGCATCGCGCGCGGGTGGGCGATGCACGGGCGGCTGCTGGTGTGGCCGGCGACGCTGTCGTTCGACTGGTCCATGGGCGCCGTGCCGCTCGTGACCTCGCTGGGCGACGCCGCCAACCTGGAGACGGCGGCGCTGCTGGCGGTGGTGGCGGCGGGGGGCGCGTCCGCCGCCGCCGCCTGCTGGAGGGCGCGCAGCCGCGTCGCCTACTTCACCAAACTGTACACATATCACAGCCACCACGCCTACCACGACGTGCTCAACAACAACGTGCAGCACGGCGACGTCGACGGCGCCCTCCCCGCCGCCCACGCCGCCCCCTGCTGCGCCGCCAGCCACTCCGCCGCCTGGTGGCACGCCAACCCGCTCCTGCTGGTGCTCGCGTGGGCGCTGCTCGTCGTGCCCTTCCTCCCCGCCTCCAACCTCGCCGCCTACGTGGGCTTCGTCGTGGCAGAGCGAGTCCTCTACCTGCCGTCGATGGGCGCGTGCCTGCTGGTGGCGCTCGGGTGCCAGAGCCTGTGGCACCTCCTCGGCTCCTGCAAGAGCCACCGCACAGGTGAGCGTCGGGAGGAGCTCGCTCTCTCTCCGCCTCTCGAGGGCCTTGTCTTATTGCCAATAAAGTTCTTATCAATAAAACTCCCCATACCCCCCCCCCCTTCATGACAACACCAACATCCCACGACCACCGCTACCCCCCCCCCCCCATCTCCCCCGCCACAGCAACCCCCTACCTCTCGCCCCCCTGACGCCCGCTTTCCTCCCGACAGAGCCACGTAGTAGTAAAAGCAGACGCTGCCTCCGAGCGCGCCGCGGAAGGCTGGCACTCGCAGGCACTTGGGTCTTCCTCTTGCTCCTCCTCAGTGCCAGAACTTGGAGGAGAAACCAGGACTGGGCCAGCGACGAGACGCTCTATCGCTCCGGCGTGCACATCAACCCGCCCAAGGGTGAGTAAACGATGTTTTTTCTATTTCTTTTTTATCTGTAATTTCTCTTTATGTCGTTTTCTTCTTATTCACCTTCTTTTTCATGGTCTCCGTAGTATTTCTTGTCTTTTTGTGTTTCATCATCATCGTCGTCATCATCGCCCTATACTTTTTTCCTCCCCTCCTCCTTCTCTTTCCTCCTTCCCCCCTCTTCCTCCTCCTCCTCCTCCTCCTCCTCTTCCGTCTTCTTCTTCTTCTCCTTCTCTTCTACTTCTCTTTTCTTCTTCTTCTCTTCTTCTTCTTCTTTTTCTTCCTTCTTTTTCTTCTTCTTCTTCTTCTTCTTCTCCTCCTCCCCTCCTCCTCCTTCTCGTCTTCCTCCTTCCCCTTCTTCCTCCTCCTCTCCTCCTCCTCCTTCTTCCTCTTCTTCTCTCTCTTCTTCTTCTTCTTCTTCTTCTTCTTCTTCTTCTTCTTCTTCTTCTTCTTCTTCTCTTCTTCTTCTTCTTCTTCTTCTCCTCCTCCTCCTCCTCTTCCTCGTATCATTGTCATCAGATAAGTAAATAAAGAGACAGATAAATGAAAAAAAAATAAAAACATAAAAAAACAAGCATATGATTTAATAGATAAATTAAAATATAAACAAACAGGTAACCAAATCAGTGAATACAAGAATTAACAAAATAAATCAATACATAGACAAAGATAATTCACACATTTTATTGAATCATTCTTATGTTCCTCATTTATTTATTTATGTTATTTTATCCTTTTTTTTATCATCATTTACCTTCCTCCAGCATCCTCCCTTCCTCCTTGTCTAATCCAACGCATAAAAATCCCCCTCTTTACCGCTAATCTTTCCTCCCTCTTTCGGCATCTGCGTCTGTCCCTAATCCTACCCCTTCCTCTTTCTCCCTCTTCCTTCTGCCTTCTCTTCGTCCTCTTTTTCGTTTCCCTATTTCGTGTGATTTCTTTGTTTGGTGTTATTTGTTTTGGCTCCTTCGGTAGAATAGATGAAGAGAGAAGGAAAAGACTACGAGTATATTTAAGTATGATTATGTTTACAAGAGTACAAATACGCACGCGCGCGCGCGCACATACACACACACACACACACACACACACACACACACACACACACACACACACACACACACACACACACACACACACACACACACACACACACACACACACACACACACACACACACATACACACACACACACACACACACACACACACACACACACACACACACACACACACACACACACATACACACACACATACACACACACACACACAACACACACACACACACACAACACACGCATACACACGTATACACACATACAAAGACATACACACAAACAACAAAAACACACACACATACACACATACACACACACACACACACGGACAAACACGAACAAACAAACACGAGCAAGCAAGCAAGCAAACACAGACAAAGACAATAAAGCGACGCATCTGAAACCTTGTCTTCCGATTCTCTCTCTGCGAATCTTGCCTCTTCCTTTTCCCTGTGGTTCTCCCTCTCCTCCTGTCCCATTTTTCTTCCCGTCTTCCTCCCGCTTTCTTGGCAATTTCCTTTTGATGTAACCAACACTACATGTTGGCTTTTCTCCTTCTCCTCTTCCACTTCCTCCTCCTTCTTCTGTTCTATTTCCTCCTCCTTCTTTTCGCTTTGTCTCTCTCTCTTGTCTCTCGTCTTTTGCCCGACTTGCTCTCTTCATTTTTCGTTTTTCTTTTTCCTTGGACATTTCGTTTCGATGTGCAGAAATACGTACACGTTCGCACACACAGCAATGTCACAATAACAGACCTAGAAATGAACACAGATTCATACGTATATCCACATCTAACACTGACGTGCACATACACACAAAAAAACGCAAAACACACATACTAAAAAAATACACACGCAAAAATATACACATATACGTACACAAAAACATACACACACACACATGCATACACAAACACACACAGAAACACAATATCACCAAACACCCACCTCCACACAGGCATCCCACCCACCCACATACATTCACAAAAAAAAACATACACACACACATACGTACGCAAAAACATATACACACAAACACAAAGTCACCACCCACCTCCCACACCCAACCCTCCCCCTTCCGACACACACACACACGCACAAACTAAAAGTCACCCGCCCCCCACTCATCCCTCCCCCTCCGACACAAACACACACACGCTCGCACACACACGCACTCGCACACACGCACAAACTAAAAGTCACCCGCCCACCTACTCATCCTCCCTCCTCCGACACAAACACACACACACGCTCGCACGCACACACACACTCGCACACAAGGCCATCTTCTTCAGCCACTCCAATATCTCTTAACGTGGAACGCGATGACAGGAAGCCCCGTCGGTGTTCCTCCGCGAGTCCGACTTATCGATAATAGGAAACAGACAAAAACAACTGCTTACTCCGCCGCGGGAACTAGTTCGTGTTCTTCTTGGGGTAGATTTTAGTTGGAAGGAGAGGGAGGGAGGGAAGAAGGGAGAGGGGAAGGAGGGAGGGAGGGAGGAAGAGGTGAGGGGGGATTTAAGGGGAAGGGAAGAAGGGAGAGGGGAGGAGGGAGGGAGGGCGCGAGAGGGGGGGGGGGAAGGGGGAGGAGGAAGGGGGGATGAAGGAGGAGAGGGGATGGAGGAAGGGAGAAAGGGAGAGATAAAAAGCGGAGAAAATGAAGAAAGAGGAGGAGGAGTAGGAGGAGAAGGACGCGGAGAACGAGGAGAAGGGAAAAAAAAAAGGAAGAAGAGGAAAAGAAGAAGAAAGAGGAAAGGAAGGGGAAGCAGAAGGAACACGAGAAGGAGGAAGGAAGGTCTAGGAAAAGGGTAAAAGAGAATGTGGAGGAGGAAAGAAGAGGCTGGGGAAGAAAGAGGATAGACAGAAAGAAAAAAAAAGTATCAGTGAAATTGTCTGGTTCTTCTAAAAGAAACATGACGAAGAAGAAGAAACAAAAAAAAGTAAAATTGATATTGATATAAAAAATGAAACCATTAAAGATAAGAAAAATTACTCGTCTGAAGACTAAGATAAGAGAGTGGGTGCGAGAGGCAAAGAGAGGTTGAAAAGAAAAAATGAGGAAGAGAGACAAACAAATAAATAAAGAAGGAGTGAGTGAGTGAGACAGACAGAGAAGAGAAGAAGAAGAGAGAAGAGAGAAGAGAGAGAGAGAGAGAGAGAGAGAGAGAGAGAGAGAGAGAGAGAGAGAGAGAGAGAGAGAGAGAGAGAGAGAGAGAGAGAGAGAGAGAGAGAGAAGAGAGAGAGAGAGAGAGAAGAAAGAACCAAAAGAGAGAGAAGAGAGATGTGGCCAGTTAAGACTTCAAAGTAAAAAAAGAAGTGGTTCTGAGTGGAAGAAAGATGGGAGGATGGGTTAAAGTGTCATTCAAGAAAGGCTTCACGAAATGCGATGGTGAAAAGAAAGTGGCAAATGTTATGAATGAAAGGAGGGGAGAGGGAGAAAGAGAGAGGAGAGAGAGGAAAAGATACAGAGGGAAAAGGGGGGGAGAGGAGGAAGAGGAGGGATGGAGAGAGAGAGAGAGAGAGAGAGAGAGAGAGAGAGAGAGAGAGAGAGAGAGAGAGAGAGAGAGAGAGAGAGAGAGAGAGAGAGAGAGAGAGAGAGAGAGAGAGAGAGAGAGAGAGAGAGGAGAGGGAGAGAGAATGAGGAGGGAAAGAGAAAAAGAGGGGAGAGAGGGAAAGAAGGAAGGAGGTTTGGAGGGAGAGGAACGAGGGAATAAGAGGATGAAGGGTGGGGGGCGAGGAGACATAAGAGGGAACGTGGAGAGGAAGAAAGGAGGAGAGAGAGACTGAAGAGGAGGGAAGGGAAGGGAGTGCGAGGAAGACACTCGAAGAGATAAGTAGAGGAA